GGGGGGGAGGAGGCACGGGGGAGAAGTGATGTTCCCAGGACAGTTTGTGCTTAGAGATGGAGAGAGAGAGCTGAAGAGGAAAAAGAGGGAGAGGGGGCTACTCTGCTGGAATTCCCTGGACAAATGATACCCAGGACTACACAACACACACACACACACACACACATCTTAGAATAACACTCCTTTCTATAAATAGTGAGTGCTTTGTCTACATTTACCATATGGTTGTCAAATTAGACTCCAAACCGTCCTGCGTGAACGTGGGAGTCTTTGTTTCTGTGAAATCTATTACTGCGTATCATATTTCCTCAGACATGTGACAGTTCTTACTCATGCTGCCCCCTGAAACCTCCCTAAAAATCTCCCAGAAAGTCTAGAGCACTAGAAGGACAGCAACTCCATCACAGTGGCCCGTACTGTTCACCACTACTACAGTAACAAAGGATTTTTTGTTTTTACATGTACAGTGAGAAAGACACTTCCACCTTGGCAAGTAAAACAGAGGGATTATGACATTATAATTTTAAGTATGCATTTTTCAAGGTCTGCTGAATCATTTTTCATGGAGGAATGAAACAAAGAAATGTCTAATTTTGCTTCTGGAATACTGAAGTAATTATACTTCTAATGGCAATTTGCATGTGTTTGGGTTTGGTATTGCAATTTGAATTATGTGCAAAAAGACGTTCAAGCACAGTGATCTTAAATACTCAACAGTTAGAGACAGTTTTTACTAAAGTAGTGACTTTAAAAGTACGTGGGTTCTGTTTTTGGATTTTTATCGTGGTATCGAGAATCGTATAAATCCACAGGTATTGGTATGGACTCTTGGAATTCTGGTATGGTGACAACCCTAGAATGAATGAATGAATGTCTGTCTGTCCATGTGTTACATGTGGCGACTCACTTGTACTGACTTCTTTGATCATCTCGGCTGAGGCATGACATCCATTGACTATGTGTCTGGTCCACACTGACAAGTCTTTGGTCGTCTCGGCACGAAACAGGTGAGTTTCGATGCCTAGTCTTGTACCGGTGCGGGTGGCAAAGAACAGTTCAGTCCCAGAGTGAGGAGAACCACGGTCTGGACTGGAGTGGATTAGGCTGAAGCAAAGAGCAAAAAAAAAACAATAATACCAAGGATGTATTGTGAACGTACGTGGCCTTTGCAAATCTTCATTAGTAGAACAGAAACTTTGCAAACTATTTTCTTTTTCATATGAAGTATCCTTTCTCCACTTTCTCTTGTGGCTGCACAAACACTGTTCTTAGAAGAAAAATATTTTGTTTATTAAGCTGGGGAGAAAGACGACTCAAAGGCCAGAACAAAAGCTGTGACTAAGCAAGACTTACAGGAGACGAAAGGGTTTTTTTTGTCTCACTAACAGCTTTGTGGAGCGGTTACTGTTCCATTCTAAGATGAAACATTTATCAAAATGAATTTTAAAACAAGCAGATAACCCTGTTCTTTTATCCATGGCACCAGTGTGGCATAAATATTAAATGGAAAAAATGTCAGTTAGAAAGATCTGCATGCGGATGAGGATGTTTACTTGCTCCTGTTTAGCAGGTAATACATTGTCTACAACATTTGAGCACAGGACAGATGAAAAGTTGGACTAATGTTGTGACAAAATAAGTCAAGGCAAAAGTATGCAAGAATTTCCATAGAAAAAATAAATTGTTGTGATGTGTACGTAGCTGCAACATTTGTCGCCTTGTGCCATCTCTCTTTTTGTTGTTCTTTTGGAAAAATTAAATGTTAGCAGAGAAAAATAGACAACACGGGGGGCAGAAATGCCAAATAAAGGAGGCTGACTACTGTTAAAAGCCCACAGAATAAGTTAGAAGGCGGCATAAGCAGCCTTGGCTTTGTGTGACTGTGTTTTTAATGACCTGGGAATCCTACGTGAGAGCACGAGGTCAACAATGTCCTTGATAATGTTTTCTTTTTGCTCTGGAGAGTCAGTACTGTCCTCCAGTGAGGGGAGAGGTCACTCAGTGGTCTCTCCACCATCAAAACGCTTGCCCAGTGTGTGATTCAGTTTTTTTAAGGACGATGAGAGTGTGTTCTGTGAATTTAGACTATATACATAAAAGTGACTTCACTTGAATTGACACGGCTTTCTGGTCACATGCTGGTTAGTCTGCATACCTTGTCAGGTTCCTCAGTGCTCTGTAGTTGCTTGTCTAGTTGCTGACACTATTGTTCCACTTTCTGGTACTTTGGTGAGCATTTTAATAGGATCATGTGGGAATGTTGGAGAATGATTTCAGAATATTTTTTAATGCTAAATATCATAAAGGCTGTTAAATAAACAGTTAAGGTTAAGTATTTAGGCAAATTGATTCAAGTCAAAACAGACATTAAAAACTCAGATTTCTCTAAAGGTCAAGGCATTCATTGTCAAATGTTTATTTCTTTATTGTTCATTTTATTTATATAACTTCCCCTGCTTCACAGACTATTGGTAAAAAAAAATCATTTGTTTACATACAAAGACTGCAGGCCAAGAAAAAGGGAGGAAGGAGGAAACTGTGCACTGTCAATTGGATTCTTTGGGGTCAGTACACCATATATTATTTATTTATGAACTGAATGCTGTGCATTCTTCCGTAATGCTCGTTAGAGCTGTCTGTTTGTATACGTACCGTGTTGCTAAAAGTGGATAATTGTGTGCTGGATTCTGCCAGTCCTCTTTGCTCCGTGGTAGCCTGTCATACAGCAGCAGGTCTTTCTCTGTCAGTACCACCAGCACTGGTCTCCAGCTCTGTTTCTCACTCTCTGTCTGCAGCACACACACACACACACACACACACACACACACACACAATGAGTTATGACAGCTGTCTCTGTCTCTCACTTGTTTCAGTACGAGCCAGGTCACAGGGATCGGCACTGTCACAAAGAGAAAAAGCTAAGAGAGAAAAAAAAAAAAAGAAAACAAAGCAAGATGTAGATGTGGAGAATTATTGTTGGGTAATCTGGAATTACAAGTACAATATATCTGCAGCCTCCTTTTGTCTTTTGATCTGACTTTTAACCAGAGCAGACTGGTTAGCGCTTAGCTTCGTCTGTATACTTTGTATTTGCTTTTGTAATTGTTTTATAAATGATTCAGGGTAGATCACAACATGTAGTTACACAGTCCGACAAAGTCGCTCCTGGAGAGGCCAAAACTAACAGCAGGGGGTCGTATTACATTATAACAGTACTTCTAAAATAGTGTGTGGGCGGGGGGCACGAGGGGGTTTCAATACAACATGGCACACTGGACAGTGTGCCACTGCTGTAATGCTTGAATGATAACAAACCTCCAGTCACTAGGTGGCAGCAACTTATACAGTGGTCTGTACAGATAAAAATTTACATTTTTAATAGTATTTCAATTCGCGGGGGTGTGGGTCGGGGGGGCATGAAAACATTTCTGTCCCCAAGGGGGCATTATAATGACATCCAGCTCCGGACCACATGCAGGCTGAAAGTGGCCTGCGGGCCGGGAGTTTAAAACCAAGGGTTGCTTTATAGGTTTTTCTGTCACCATCGGGGGAGAGTAAAAACTGTCGCTTAGTGTCTGTGTGTTTTCATTGCAGTGGGTGTTGACAGGTTTTCACCTCCCAACTTAATAAGAGACCTGATTCACAAACACTGCACTGTTGACTACACACTGTAATTCTCTGTTTTTCGTGCAAGTGCTAAAAATAAAGACGGCTCGTGTGCAGGTGGAGGTACGCTTTCACTGCATTTGCTACACTGTGCCCTTTCGCCCACCCATTATTGCTAATAAGCAGGCTCCTTATTTTCCCCTTGCATTCTGTAAATCTAGTGGAAAACACACAGATACGCACACACACACACTCATTTCACATCACACCACAGCTATTCCCATTATTAGGGCTTATCTGCAGCCCAGACATGGAATCCTAAGCCCCCCTTTGAAGTGTTCCCTCAGCCAATCACACACCGGGATTTAGAGGGTCAAGGGTCATCTTTTCACTAATAAGAAAATATGTTGCTAAGTAACTGTAATGTAATGCAGTCCAAGGATGAAGAATGTCAAATTCACAGGGATTAAATCAGACAGGTGTTTGTGTGTGTGTGTGTGTGTGTGTGTATTTACACAGGTGTGTTTCAATGCGAAAGCGAGGTTCCATCTGTAGTTGTTTATTTGCCAGTGTTTGAAACCATCTTCATCCGTGTGTGCACCAGATGGACACGGCGCTAATGTAGGCTAACATTTTTGGCGACATTTTTCAGTTCCTAATGCAGACCATGGGATTGTATTAATTACCACCGGTTAATCCATTACCCCGACCTTTGTCTCAGCCTTTAATGCTTATTGTCATCAGAGCCTTTGATTACAAATTCCTGACACTGTTTCAATCCTATCTCTCACTTATGTCTTACCGGTCTCTAACAAGAAGTCGTGGGGTGTAATGTTACATCGATTGCCCCTGACGTTGTGTTGACATCAATTTTCAGCTGTTCTTTTATCACACAGTTGCTTAGTTCATTTTTTTCGACTTGTCTCCAGTAGAGCGCAGACATGCCAGGAATTTTTTTTCCCCACATTCTTGAATATTAGTGGTTCTTGACAATGCTAGATAACTGTCACATGGTAACAGCAGTACTTGTATCTTTGGATTTTGTGATACTTTGAAACATCAAATTGTTCAGAAAGTACACCTAAAAACAAACTTACATTCACAAAGAGAGAGGAGTTAGAATGGACTTACATTCACAAAGAGAGAGGAGTTAGTTTGTTCTCTTGTATTAACACCCACCTTTGCTGCCAGCCAGCCCAGGTGACGTATCTCTTTGCCGCTGACCCCAGTTCCTGCTGTGTTCTGAATG